TTAAAGTTGCTCTTGCTCATAAATATAAGTGTAGTACCCCCTATTCTTACCGCATCTAAAACCACATCGTTTTAAAGACAAAAAATCACGTACTCCCAACCTCCGCACGCCGCCGCCAGGGCGAAACCGTAAATCGTCATTTTCTATTTGTGCGGTTAAACCACACGTGTTTGGTTGTAATTTCGGCGTTAGTGTTTCTTTCGACCGAGATGGGCAATTTTCCATAGCCTCAGCGATACGGCTGATACAGCTTGACCGCGGGAATATTCCCGGAAATGGACACGGTCATTAGGAGTATACATCCTCGCGGAAATAATACATTTTCGCACGCAACGGACGATTTTCCCAAGTACTCGGATTAGGAGCCGTCTTAAGTGTCCGACGTATTTAATTCCGTTTTCGACGGAACCAAATGGAAGCGAGATGACGATTCTCTAGCCTCAGCCGATGCCGCTGATACCACTTCTGACCACGGGAATCGAGACGGGAAACTCCGAATTGTTCACGGTCAATAGTGGAGATATACATTTCCGCGGAAATATAAATTCTCCGGCACGGACTGACGGACGGTTTTCGCGAGGAGGCCTGCAATTCGGGATGAGGAGCTGTCCAGAAAAGGTATTTTAATTAATTTCGCATTGTTGCGATCATTTAGAGGAAATATTCTCTTTAGGCAATGACATCGATTGAGCCTTGTCATTTTTAAAGTGAATTTTCCCTTTTTGGTAATTACGTACATTTTTTGGAATGCTTGTTAAATAACGTAGATATTTATCTATCCTTTTTTTTAACATTATGAAGGACGCTACTGTTGCCCCCCTCCCTAGGCTTTCTTGCCTTGTTATGTGGTCGTTTAAAGAACGCGAACGAACTTCTCACCCGCTTATAGGCCTATGGCTATTTATACGTCTATTCGAATAACAATGGCGCATTTCATTGGATTTGGCGCCTAAGTAGCTTATTTTTTTTATTTCTGCGGAATGAGCCGTAGAAAATTAGAACTGTTACGTCTTTAGCTTTACTAACTATTTTTCCTTTTGACACTGTTTGTCTTTACAAGAATTTGTTAGAAAACTTCCCGGCGCTTTTGTTTTAGAGAAAAATGCGAAATGTAACACTGATGTCCACGACATTCCCTTATCCAAAGACGTGTGAAAATTATTATTGCGTTACGGATGTTAAGAATTTTAAATTCAACCAGCTGCTTGTGGGACAGCGGCGAAATCTCGTCAAAAGAAGTTGGGCGTCAATTAATTAGATGTGGATCTTAGCGTTACATTTCTTTTGTGTATGGCCGCAGAGGGTAACTTAACCATGCCTGTGTTTCGGAAATTGCCGGAAAGGACAGATCCTCTCTGAGGTCGCGTATGGATCGGTTGAGCGCCAATTTAGTTTTTTTATATATATATAACCATTCATGAAAATAATCGTATCGGAGCTAACACGGAGAAGCAAATTGGATATAAATATTATGAAGCGGAGGTGAGTGAGAAGATATTCGAACTCGAACGGAAATGTGTGCTTCGTGTACCCTCCTCTGACCACTGCAAAATTGTAGAGGCCCCAAAGCCTAAGCTTGGGAAGTTGGCGACAGCTATTAATGCAGCGTCAAGGGAACCGTGAGACAACTGCTTGCTAGTTTTCAGAAAGGCAATTATGTTGGCAGCATTTCTGCAATGGGAGGCGATTTCCTTGCTGTGCGGGAGGACAGGGGAGACCAAACCTTCAGGTGTTGTGAAATCCCTCCACCATGCAGACAAGCTATAGACCGCCCTTTTCTCCGTGCAGCTTTAATGTAGCGTCAAAGAACCGAGACAACCCGGCTTGCTTGATTTCAGACGCAAATTGTTGTGCAGCATTTCTGCATTTGGAAGGGCGTTTCACTCTTGCGCAGCGGGAGGGAGACCAACGATATACTAGGTGGTGCAATCCCTCAGCGATGCAGGCAAACTATTGTGCGCATTTTTTGACTTGTATTCTTCCACGAGAAGAGTTAATTGTCCGTAGGATTCAGTCGAGTTTATGACAAGCCGCATAATGTGTGGCTGATTCTGTTCGGAATGACTGAACGAGAGATGGAGGCATCCAAAATTTGGCAGAGGTGGGCCGAGAATGAGGCTTGCTAAGCCAAAACTCAGTTGATTCTCGGGCCAGCAAAAAAACGCCAGGGGTCAATCTCTTTCCCTTGAGTTCAGCGGGACCGTCAACCTTTTTCCATCGACGGCCTCTACCCATGTTACAATGCGCGCCAGCATTCCTGCTGGAGGGGAGAAATCTATAGCAAATGATTGCAGGTGCCAAGCAAGAGGAGACCTGCAAAAAGGCATCTGAGACAGCATTACCTGTAAGTCGTTTGGGCTGGATAGATTGAAAAATGTTTACTCTTCTGGCTTAGTATTACTAAGACTAGTACTGTTTTGTCGTGGATAAAGGGAAATAATATTCCTTTTCTTAAAAATCTACAACAGTTCTTGGCGTAAAATGGGAATGAACTTGGTCACAGACAGCGTTTGATTTAACTTACAAAAAGCCTAGCTGACCTTTTAAAATTGGGAGCTATTAGCCGAGGTGAGCAGTTTGTTCGGGCACTATTTTATCTGGAATATTTTTCAGAGACGGTGCCTAGATTTCGTTTAATTTGATATTTTCATTTAACGAGATTTTCCAGTTGCGTTCCCACCTAGAACTACTGAATTTCAAGTGGTTTATCTGACAACTTTTTGCTTTTGGAGATTCCTAATAGAATTCCTGCATAACGGTCCTGAGACGAGTACTCTTTTGAAGCCTTGTGGGTTTTTATAAGTAAAGAGTTTGTATGTTCTCACAGGGTTCTGAGTAAGTTTTGGGGTTACCCATGAATATAGAAATGTCTATTAAAAATCCTCTCGAAAATTCTTGATAAAAGGAAGTTGAGAAACTTTTCAAAATTGTTGTGTCGCTAAAAGTTTTGCAAATACACGGATTTTGCTACGCTGTAGGAAAAGATGGTTCCCATATACACCCTACATGGAATTTGTTGCATCAGGAGTTTGAAAGAGTAAACTGCTTTAATCTATGGAGAAAGTTATGACACAATCATGGAGTTCCCTAGTCTAAAGGAATTTAGGTGGTGGTTGAAAAGTTGATCAAATTCAGGAAACGCGAAGTCCCCGCCGTTCTTTTCGCGGACATGCAGAAATTCCTCTCCCTCTTAGGAGAAGGTGACCTTCCGTACAATAAAGTGTTTACCAGCGTGGACTCCGCCATTCACCTTAAGATTGAGATTGATTTTAAAAAAGGGAATTTTTACAGAGAGGCGTACGCGCCCTGTTGGAGAATATATCAGAACCTCCCTCAAATTCCTTAGAGAAAATTACAATTTTACTTGGAAGTTTGTTCAGATGCTTCAAAACACATGGCCATTGGTCAGTTCCATAGCAATCTCTACCATATACACCTTTTTAAAAATTACAGGTTGCTGTCTTTAGCGCTCAAATGTCTTTGCAAGGAATTATTTAAACAAGCACTGTATTGTCGCATATAGAACAATACACAGCATGCTTGTATTAAATAAGATGGCCAGGTGTCGATTTCCAAACTTAATATTGTAACTTAAACGAATTTGGGCAGCTGCGCAAGAATAGAAACATCTTTCTTTTTGCACATATAAAGGTCGGTTTGAATCACATAGATACTGATCTGAGGAATCGCGCAGAGTCTGTCAATAGAAACTGAAACTTGCATTTGGACAAATCGGTCTCACACACGTTTCGTGACGAACGGTCATTTGATAATAGGTTAAACAAAAAAGTGTGATAGATTTATATATTCGTTGGAGATCCGGAAGCCAGCGAAGTAAATTCTTTCACTGTAAGCTGGACTGACCTTCTTTGCCCTAATTTTAAAAACTCCAAATGAAATGTGATAGATTTAATATCTTCCGTTTAGAGATCCGGAAGCCCACGCGAAAGTATAAATTCTTTCCACTGTAAGCTGGGCTGACCTTCTCCTTATTTGCCCTAATTTTAAAAAATCCTAAATTAGGATGCCGATAAAGCTAAGGGTATTATAGTGTGCCTCTTTGGCAAACTCGACCATGGTTTCCATTGTTTATAATTGTATGTTAGACAGCCCATCATAGCAGGTACTGTAAACCTAACAGCAGGCTCTTCTTTTTGATAAGCGACCACACCCATTACAAGACGGATTTCTCGG